ATACAATTCCATCTTGCCTCCTGTCTACAAGTCCAAGGAAGCATAATCGTTCTTTGGCAGTATGATCTTTATTCTCTATGATAAATACATTTTAAAAAATGTCAATTTGCTTAGCAATTGACTTTCACGGTCTTAGGGTAAGTTCCTCTCTTGCTTACTCTCCTTTCCCCATTTGTTTTGTCACAACTACCAATTAAGAGGGCAGGCTTTAGTTCGCTGTTATTGATGATGAAGTGCTAATTTCTTTTGCAGAGATTCCTCAACTCTGTCATGATTCGTAATGGCTTCATTTCGTGAAATTAAATTTTAGAAACAATCTTCAATAACTTATGTTTAATCCCACTCTGTCTCTAAAAAGCAATCAATCTTAAAGAAAAGATCATCTAAAATTTTGGTGCAATATAAGCATCATTTGCTTCCATTAATGATTAACCAATTTAGGTATCCCAACTATGCATAAATCTTATAACAGTGGATCAGGGTAAATAATCCTAGTTAAATTTAAGCTTTCATGCAGAGCTTCTATTAATTGTGTGTCAATGCTAGTGCATGCCATCGGCAGACTTGGCTTTTGGCCTCTGTGGTGTGTGCATATGGATGCGTGCAAGCTCATGCATGTGCGCATATGCATCTAGGTGTTTGTGCATATATGTGCCGATTCAAATTTGAAAATTGAGCGAAACACTCATTTCATCTGTGTGGAGCACCCATTACTTCATGTGCGCGTGCATGCACGCCTGTGTGTGCATGCATGCTTATTCAAATTTGAAGTTATGAAGCAAAATGTGCTTGCAGATTTTGCTTCTGCCAAAAACTTGAGTACTTGCAAAATTGTGTGATTTGGCCATCTATGAAATTGATGGTGTTTGTTGCAATGGGCATTAACATGTCTATAGAGATATCTTATTGCCTCAAAACTATCTTCAGTCGCCAAATTGTGTGTTCGGCAGTGTGTGCATCAGTGCATGTGCACATGCTCACACATGTCTGTGTTGTGCACATGTGGAGATATTATTGCTGCTTAAAAAACTCTTTAACACTTCTAAAATTGCAAAGTCCAGTCATCTTTGAAACTACCTGATTCTCCTTTTATTATGTGTGCACCTCAATAGGCTTTTTTTTTCCTTCTCTTTCCCAGTGAAAGATCTGCCCTTTTCTTTTCTTTTCTTTTTTCTCCCCTTTTTTGCTGCTTGAATATAAAGCTAAATAGGAAGGTTTACTTCCCAAATAGGTTTAATCTATTGTTTCATTTCAGTATTGCTTGAACCTGCTGCTTTGCTCTATCATTGCCATTTTAATGATGATATAGTTTGTCTTGGCTGACATGCAATTTGTTTCTGCAGATTCTAAATATATTAACTTCCTCTAGAGAGCTGATGGACTTTCTTCACAAAGTGGATACTGCTTATCATTCTAAACAGTCACGACCTTTTTCGTCAAATGTTGATAACATACATAAATATGTCCCCTCAATTCGTGAACAGTTGCAGGTAGTGACATATTTTGAAGACATTTTTCCGCTTCCAATTTCCTTTTTTGTCCATTATCGGTAGTACTTAATGCAGAATGCAGTTGGTTTAATATGGTCCCAGACCAATATCAATCACACTTTTCTCTAGTTAAAGATTAGTCACTGAAGTCTTATAGTTCCTATAATGTGCTACTTACTACTGTTTTTGATACTGCAATTTTGATGCTAAGTTCTATGTTCCTTTCAGGATTGGGAGGATGGTCTATGTGAGAATGATGCGGATGGGTCCTTCTTACATGAGAACTGGAACAATGACCTAAGACTTTTCAGTGATGGCGAGGATGGTGCTCCTAAATTACTACAGGTATGAATAATCTGAAATATCTATTAATTTTTGCCCTTCTGTCTTATGCTCAACTATGTAAAAAGAAATGATATCCTGAAGTAGGTGTGATACTTAATTTCTTTTTGGTAGCTGGGATCATCACTTTGGTACTCATTATTGACTTAGGTTATATCTGTGATATGAAGGCCATCCTTCATTTTCTATATTCTGATCTTTATGATGGGTTCCTCAAATTGTTATTTTGTATGCAAATTATCTATTTTCCACCACTGCTACTATCATTCCTTTTATCATCTATTTGCAAATAACCATATGGAACTTTGCTGATTGTTCCAATTCAGGCATCTTTAATTTGTACTCCACCTACAACTCATATTTGTTTTATTTTCTTTAACTTGGTTTTGATATGATTATTTTTGTAGCTGTTTGTTTTACGAGCGGAGCACGAGATCCAAGCCGCCTCTGGCGACCTCCAAAACTTAAACTCCATCAAATCTAAAATGCATATCCTCTTCGGTGGCTCAATTAGAGCTTCATCCCGCTCTCCCATTCCTTTAACGGAACCTCTTGATACCCAGCAGGATCGCACTGAAGTCTTCACCCCCAAGCATCCAGGTATCGGGAGCCGAACTTGGGCTGACGTGCACTACAAAGGCGACTGGATGAGGCGACCCATCTCAGACAACGAGGTTGCATGGTTAGCTCGGATCTTGATCAGACTATCTGATTTCTTGAACGATTTCCTAGGGTTAGATCATCGGGTTTGCAATGGTGAACCCGATGGTCCCAATTTTGTGGATGTTCCTCGTGAGTCAGGTTATGTTGGTGGATCGAAGGAAGCTATGGCTATGGTTTTATCCTACATTGGTTCTTCAGTCAGCTGGACGGTGAAGTTTATGAGAGGGCGTGGGATGAGGATAAATTTGAGGGTGTTGGCCTCCAAGAAATTTGTTATGGTTTTGGTTGCTTATGTTGTCGTCTTTGTTTTGAAGAAGGCTCTGTTTTCGTAATTATTTTGTCTCTTTGATTACGACAACTTATGTACAGTTCCAGAGGATGCAAAGGGGGTGAAACTAATGTGGGTTGGAAATGGTTGAAATCGTCAAATACTATTTTATAGTTGAGAATGGAAGTGATATAGCTAACATTGTGTGAATGTGTTTTTGGTAGTATTTGGGCTTATTATTCTGTGCGTGCCGTGAGGCGCACGTTTATGTGCATAGTATCAGGTGAAATGCACAGAGTGGAAGTCCTAAATTTTTGAACTCTGGTTATTTCGACGTATCTTTCTGTCATGGTCATAAATGTGAAGATATTTAGAGAAGGCAACAAGTTCAATTGAAATAAAAGCAGGCAAAATTTGGAAGAGCATACGATTGAGTGGTGTAGCCGCTAGCAAGCCGATCGGTATTTATATCTCAGAGCAAGATAAGCCTTGAAGACCGCAAAAATTCAATGCCTTCCTTCAAAACTCTAAAGCAAATATTAGATCCGGTATTCAAAACCTTTTGATGAGTTCATATCCCTCGTCTCCTTGTAACTTCCCTTTTTAGGTAGTGTTTTTTTGTAGACTTTCACATTGCGTCATATGTTTTTGGATGTTGGATATCTCATCCATACTATATGTGCTTTGAATATTGCTCTAATTTTGTAGTGTTTTGGTATTATAGGATTTGAGTTTCTTGCGGAGAGACATGGGTAAATGAACTTGCTTATACCTAGAAAAAAAATTACGTTAGGGAGAATTGAAAAAAATATAATTAATAGAACGAATAGGAAAATGTTGTGGTGTTCCCGTTCGCTAAAAGCGCAAGTTTATTGTTAAGTAACTGACAAGTGTGTCACATGCTATGCCCCAATCAACTTGGCGGCTAGAGACCAGTGGGACGACCATTCCGCCGACTCGACGACTCGACGTTCCTTCATGTCGACTCGAAAGGCGGAACTTGTCACCTCCCTTTTGTCGAAGACGACTCGCCACAAGTCCTCACGACCATTTGCCAGACGCCTTACGAAGCCGACTCGAAAGGCGTTACTTCTCGACGAAGCTAAAAGACTATTTTCGTATCGAGCCTTTCCCTCTATGACAATGGGTCAACATCGCATTTAATACTTGGCAGGTGTCATCATGACTCTAGCCCAAATAGTCTTCATGATTCATCGGACCATGTGGCCATGTCATGCTGCCGGTCTCTTCTCATTTAATGCCGAAGCGACCTTCCCTCCACTCGCTAACCAATGCCTATAAAACAAGTGCTGACATGGCCGCCAGCCCATACTTCGCCACCGCCTCTCTGCTCTCGGCTAAAGTGGCCAATTTACCCTTACCGTCTTAGTATAAATACAAGTACTATTTCAACTTGGGCGGAGACCGAATTCTAGATTATGATAAAAACTTTATAACTCTGCAAATCATATCGCACACGCACAAGAATTACAACACTCTTTAATCCCCACTCAAATTCATCAGTTAACTTGATCATCGGAGGTACAACGTGGGAACCAAACTTCACCCTCTTACGAATTTCTACTTGTGCAGATTTTTCAAATACCCCAATTCAAAAACTAAACATAAAATCAGTGAAGAAAACGACCCCTTCATCAATCCTCAACAAATTCTCCCAAACACGGATATAACTGACTGTGTCAGTAGTACATCAACAGAATATAAGAATGAGTTAAAAGAACTAAATCGAAAGCTATTAAAAAATAACACGATAATAGTTAATATAAAATAAAGAAGGAACAAAAAGAGATTATGACAAAGTTTAGGATTGCACTCAAATATTTCTGCCGCTTTCACCGTATTTGGTATCCCGAAGTTTTGTTGCCCAAAAATACCCCAAAATTTAATAAAGATAAGATATAAAAGTGTAAATTATACTAAACCCCCAAGAACTTTCAGTATTTTGTAGTAAACCCACAATAACTTTCAAAATCGGTCTAGACCCCCAATACTTTTGAGTAAGTTACACCAACTCCCTATAACTTTCCTTTTTCCTGTTGATCTAGGCGTAGCTGCGAGCTGCCTCTTCACGTTGTTTTTTGCTTCTAATTATGGGGGCTTTCTGCGAAATGCTAAAGTTATCGGGGTTTATTGCGATCGTGAAACTTACCCTAGATTTAACTTCCATGCCCTGTTAAACTCTCGGGGTACCAAAGTAGAACTCTTTTTAAGCTTTGAGGTATTTTTATTTTTAATCCCTAGAAAACTTGGGGACTTCAAAGCGTTCAGGCTGTGTGGAATCAAAGTGCACGCAGCCTCCCCCAACTATTGATCCCAGCTCCGATTTCTCCCCCAAATCGATCTAGAAAACCTAACCTCTTCTCTCTTTTTAGGGTTAAAGTCCAGCGATGGTTTTCACGCAGAAACTGCACGAAGCGTTCAAGGGCACGGTGGAGAGGATCACGAGCGCTCGAACGGTCTCCGCTTTCAAGGAGAAGGGCGTCCTCAGCGTCTCCGAGTTCGTCATCGCCGGCGACAATCTCGTCTCCAAGTGCCCTACTTGGTCCTGGTACTACTCCCACTTTTCTCAAAACCCTAGCTTTGGTTCTCTCTCTCTCTCTCTCTCTCTCTCTCTCTCTCTCTCTCTCTAATTTGTTGATTTTTGTAGGGAGGCGGGGGAATCGAGCAAGAGGAAGTCCTATTTGCCTGCTGATAAGCAGTATCTCATCACGAGGAACGGTATTTGATCGAACCCTAGATCTCAAAATCGCCTCTTTTTGAGTTTTCTTGTTTCTGTTATCGGGGGTCGTGGGATTCTCTGAAAGATTTTAGAGTGTTCGGAATATGATTATAGCTTATTAGGGGTTTTGGTGGTTTTGTTGCAGTTTAAGGAGTTCAAGTTGGGATAATTTGCACTTTGGTGCTGCAAAGTTGTCGCCTTTTTTGAGCTTTGGTGACGCAAAGTTTGTTTTTGACAGTTTGGTGTCCCAAAATTTCACCCTCATTGGACTTTTATGCCTCAAAATTTAACTCCTGTTAGATTGCTTGGAGCATCAAAGAAAAAAGATGACAACTTTGTGGCACCAAAGTGCAAATTTTCCTTTAATTTAAGGGAATCACTGAAAACTCTGAGTAGTTCATGTTTCTTGAGACTTGAATATTTGTTGGGATTTTGTAAATTTGTAGCATTCTCTTCATGAAGAATAGGTTCTACACATTGGTCAATGTAAACTGTAAGAGACGTAGGAGTAATAGCTAGTCGTTATTTGGAGGGGATCCATATATCTTATGAACCCACAATTGACTCCTTATTTAGTCAATGTGGGACTAAATGGTTCCTAGCGTACCGCCACGCTTCCATTGTCCTAGCACCCACGCTGGTTGGTTTTGCACTAGTCTAGTCTCGACAAACTCTGCAAACTTCACGTTGCTGCTTTAGCTTTGTACTAGGCTAGTCTCAGCAAAGACCACGATTACCTCCATCTCCACCAGCGCCGCTTTATTGCATCTGGGAAAGTGGGTTTGGATCTGATACCATTGTGATGTAGGAGGTAAAAGCTAGCTGTGAGAAGGAGTGAACCAATTCTCTTATAAACTGACATTTGACTCCCAATTTAGTCATTGCAGGACCGAGTGGACCTAACATAAACACTATTAAAAAATTTTCTTTTTGTTGTATGTCGTACTGGAAACCATGTTTTTTTAATCAAAACACTTGTGTTTTCAGTGCCTTGTTTAAGAAGGGCAATTTCAGTAGAAGAAGAGTATGAAGCTGCAGGCGGGGAAGTTCTTCTTGATAATGATGATAATGATGGTTGGCTTGCAACTCATGGGAGACCAAATGGTATAATACTATATGCATCTTACAACATAATTATGTGCACTTTTTGCCTTAGTTTATATTGTATTTGACTTACAGAGACAAAGCGTGATGATGAGGACAGCTTGCCTTCCATGGACAACCTAGAAATTAGTGAAGGCAGGACTATTAGATCTATCTCCTCATATTTTGGTGGCAAGGATGAAGAGGATATACCCGATATGGCAGAGTATGATGAATCTGAAAATCTTATTGAGTCTGATCCCGTAAGTGGATGTATTACTGTTCTTTACCTAAAATTGAATATATTTTGCCTTGCTTTACTTGGTATTGGCTGAAGCACATTTTTCTTTCTGTGATTGTGGGTCATATCTTGAATATAACAAATTATACCAGGGTAAAATGATTATTAGCAAGCTCTATAAAGTATATATGATCAAGTTGGAATATTTTGCGATATTTCTAAGATCTTTAAGACAATGCTTAAGAGGCAAGTCGAGGGGAGGCTCAAGGCATTTTTTGAGGAAAAAAGTTGTGAGCCACACGTATTAGGCCCTGTGGCAGCAACCTTCAGACATGTTAAAAGTTATAAATGCGAAAAATTATTTGTTAACCCTCATCTAGTTTATTATTTAGTTTGTAGTTTTTCTCATTGGTCTGAAGTGGAGGAACTGTTTTCCGGTAATACGTGGCATCCAGTTTTTCTTGTTTTGGCTTATATGTGTTTAAAGCATTTATAGCATGCGAGTTACAAATGAACTGATTTTTTGAGTTTTCAATAAATGCAGGCTACCTTGCAGTCTGCATATCTTGTTGCACATGAACCTGAGGATGATAACATTCTACGCACTCGAACATATGACTTGAGCATCACGTAAGAGCTGAGTTTTTTTCCATTAATGAACTTGATGTTCCTGCAGAGGATTGGCATGATGCAGGCTACCATCGCAATTCACACATGAATGACAATATTGCCTGCATCATGCTGCATATTGTGATGCAGACTATATCCATGATTTTTTATTTTTTATTTTTTTATTTTTGTCTACCATGAATTCATCATGATAGAGTGCATATTGCAAGTCATTTTTTTGGGCAAAAAATAGTTCATTTTTGCAAAGAAAATTTCAATCGCTTGCAACTCAATTGCAGCTGCTACTGTCTTTTGAAAATTTGCAGCTGAAACTGTCCTTTATACAAGGAAGTAAGTTGGTCATTGCAGTAAATTCTCTACATCTACATTCTGTTCATCACAAATGCTAAGTGCTGAGAAGTGCTAAAATGTGATTAAGCTCTTAATATCAATTGAATGTATGACAATAAGTGGATCCTGGCAACTGATATTTTTGTCATTATTTAGACTTGACATGCAAAAAAAAAAGAAGAAAAAGAGTAAAACCTAATCTAGTGGATAAGATAAATAATATCAATTAAGAAAAACTCTAGATGAGACATGTACGTGCTTATATTTTGATGGTGTAGATTTCAAAAACCATCTTACGCGGGACTTTAAGCCAATGCTCTTTTGATCTCTTTGAGACATGTTGCTTCTCATTTTGACATGAAATCAGCACTTTAAATTGTTTTCCCTTCTGTTGTGCGCTATCTGTTTTTACTGAACCTGATACGTAAGTTGCTTCTCATTTGTGGCTATTATAACGACTAATCAAATATCCCGTTACATATACTGTAGTAAGTTTGTCAGATTAGAAGGTCAAATTATTTTTTTAAGTAGTTAAAGTGCTAAGTGAAGCATCAACCTTTTTGCAATTCTATGAAAAAAGGAGCTTTGCTTATGGCGCATGCCATTACTTTTGAGGGTTGAGATGAATGGCCATATGGATATTTAAGGCAGACACTACAATACTGTTTCATCCTTTAGCTTACCTACGTCTAAAATCATTTGAGGCATTTCATCAGGTGATGTAAGGCCGTTTCATAAAAGCTTTGTTTGATTCTTTATTGTTTGACAGCTACTCTTGATACTTTAATGATAGCAACAGTCTACCTCAAACGTTCTTTAAAATAAATGTGTACAGATCACAAATTCAAAATTCAATTTAGAATGGGAAGCTTATATTAAATGACTCCTGATAAGAATTACTAATTCAGCATGCGCGCATACACACATGCACAAATCCGTGCATGCTTACCCGCACACAACTGCTGCACACATACACGTACCCACCCACCCACACATATATAGGTACACGTGTATGCACACATATATGTGTGTGTATGCACACATATATGTGTGTGCATGGGGGGAGGGTGTGTTTTTGTGTGTCAACACTCACTTATTTGTGTGTGGCCAGTGTCTGTGTTCTGAAATTCACTTAAGTGTAGGAGCTTTGTTTGTTTAATTTTCAATTGGTTCTGACTATCACTATTATTTCTCCGTGACCTTCAACATATTTTATCTGCAATATGGTTATCTCCTCCATCCTTTGAATGTAAACTCTTTCTTGTAAACTCTTTCTTGGTTTTTCTTTGTGACCAACAATTTTTTTTTCTTCTATGATTCGTACTACTTTTTCTCATCTGTTTTATTTAATCTGTAAGATTTCACATTATTTATTTATTTATTGATAAGACCTAAGAAGAGTGGCGGATTTAGAATTTCTAGAAAGTGGTGTCACTAGATAGTTATAATTAAAAAATTTAGAATTTTCCCTAAAAAACTTTCATAGCTTTTTTTAAAAAAAAATTTACATATAATCACATCATTAATAACCTGTCAAATACATAATCACATCTTAGTAACTTCAACCCATAAAGTACATATAAGGAACCTGTTGGATTAGATTCATCAGATGAGTACACACTGCAAAAATACCGAAACAAGACGCATACTACTAAAATAACTCTTTTTAACCCTTCACCTTGTCAAACTGGGGTATATTTCAAGTGGATCACATGTTCATTTTATCTATTGTTGGGTTTGAATGTGAAGCAACGCAATTTCATTTGTTTTGGGTCTATTTGCATATATGGCCAACTCAAGGGTAGAAAGGAAGGCGCTAAACTATATAACTAGTGAGGGAGTGGTGTCCCGTGACACCACTTCTCATGAGTGGATCGACCCCTGCCTAAGAATCGTTAGTAAGGGTGTGTTTGGCATCTCCACAGAACTTGTTTTAGGTGATACACCTTTTGTCCAAAATCTTGTTTTTAGTTTGGCAATATTTGGGCCAAATTGAATTAGATTATTCTAGTTCAAAATCCAGTCCCTAGACTAGTTCTTTTGTGGACCAACTCTTATATGGTGCAACTGTGGCCTGGTTAAGAAAATACCAGTCTAGACCCGCTTCTATTTTGAAGTTCCACCCTAAAGTTTACTTATTTATCTCTACTGTTATGCTAATCATTCACAATTATACTTACTGATTCATGTCTAGCTCGTGCTTTGGTTGCCAACATAGTCTTAATTTTTTTATCCTCCTCAAAATGCAGCTATGACAAGTATTACCAAACTCCTCGAGTGTGGCTTACTGGATACGACGAGGTGATATTACTTGTACAATTTTCTTATTGTAATAAATACTTACAAAGTGGTTTCAATATTAAACAATATCTATTTCTATATGCTTACTAATTGATCTACTAAGATTGTTTTAATCTTCCGTAGCGTTCATTGAAGAAAGTATCTTGAAAACTTACTATTCATTTAATGAATCTGCTGGCATTGTAGCCAGTATCTCCAAATTCTCTCTTTAGCTTTTTTTTCTGTCTTTGATGTAATTTTTCTTTGTTCTATTGAGGTGAAATTTTCACTTATTTGGCAGTTGTTAGTTTAAAGTAAAATATCAGTTTCCAATAAGATTGAGTTTATCTGCGTAGTTATAAATAGCAAAGCTGGTCTTTCGTCATTTCCAGATAATGAGGAATCCTTGTGGTCTACCTCTTTTGTTTACATGATGTTAACATGTTTAGGACAAAAATGAGGCAACCTCTTTATCCTTTACACTACAGATACTAGATTTATGTTTTAAAAAAGCCATTGATCTTTCTATCGAGTGAAAGAGGGACTGGAGGTACATTGATCTGATCTGTTTATATCTAAACTAATACCTTATTATATCCAATATCAATGTTCAGACTGTTACTGGTGTGGGTGCATATGTTTAGATCCTCCTGTCGATACTGCTAGTGTTTGCAGTGCTTAGCGTCACTTAGACTTGGAATTTGGACGTGACCAGTGCTGTTGTCCAGATAGACATGTGGTTTGGTTGCCTGATTTACAAGAAGGATGAATTTGCATCTGACAATTAGACTTGATCATTAAATTAAGTGTAAACATAGATATCCTTAATGCTGGTCACAACATTGGAATTATCTTGACAGGGAGTTTAAACAGTATTAAAGTCACCTAGATTCAAATCCAGCCCAGCAGAATATGCATATTTAGTAAGAAGCTTGAAAAAATTATTATTAGACAAAAGCTTATGTTCTGACCCTACCTAATGGAGAAAACCTGTGTTGAGTATCATACTATACAAGTATATTCTCCGATCCCCACAATGTCGCTGTCTTGGTATAGTGGCTAGAAATTTAAGATGGATCAGAATTAGAGCCATAGATGCATAATTTCTGGGACCCTTCCTCAAACCGTCATACAATTATTGCGAACCGATTACCGGCATATTTGTGAACCGATTCCCTAGGGTATAAAAATTGGTTCCCCAAAATTGGCGTACCGCTTACTAGTATATGATGTGCAAAATTCCTTTATATGCACATGTGCAAGGCACAATGTGACGTGTGTGTGCCTGAGTGAAGCGAGGCGCACAATGCGCACATAATAGAAAAACAACCATGAAGGAACATATTTATGATTTAGTATTCATCCATTCAAACATTCGCCTCTTGTCTCAGTTTTGTGAGTATTACGAAGTCCTTGTAAAGGATAGGATAGTGATCCACTTCCAAGTAAATTGGAGGAACTTATATGGAACTACTTGGAATCGGAATTAATTGAAGATGCACTTAGTGCTAAGGGAAAGAAAGTTAGAAGGTTGAAACAAAATTATTAAGTGCTTAGTCTATAATTTATATATTTTTTGTCTTATGTATTAAATTTTTTTGAAAGTCAAGCATTGAGGTATTTTGTATGAAAAAAATAATTGAATACATAATTAGCTTTCTAATTTCTAGTTATCTACTATATACTTTGAAAAATGGTAAGTGCACCCTAAAAATATTTACGACGTACCACGTGCCCCTCAAATTCAAAATAGCAAGGTGGTGAATTGTGTACTTGAATTCGTACCACAACCCGCTTTATACCGCGTACTATGTAACTATGAATTTAGAGCCACTGAGGCCATATTCGGCCATGCATACATTTAAAGCATGGATTTGGAAAAATACTGTTCTACAGAACTCAAGTTTTAGTCCACAAAGTAGCTCTCTAAAATATGCGTCAAGCCTCATCATGACTTAAGATGGAGTTAGAAACTAACCATGTTTACTTGAGAGGTTAAGTTGATGTGTTGGGACCTACCGATTTACAGAAGCTATAGTATCCTTCTGGTTGGCTTTTAGGCTACATTTGGATAACCTTCAATGTGAAGATGACTCGTTCTGAAAAGCGAATAATTTGGGTAAAGAATCATGTTTTATATGGAAATAATGGGTTTTGAACTCAACATATTTGAAATATGGAGCTATGATGTTGTGCCAGGTTAACTACTTCATCAAAAATCTTAAGTTAATGAATTTTAAGCCAAAAGTGTCAAACAAACTCAAAACTTCATCCAGATTCCATGAACCTTTTCCAACATTATTGTTTGTCATTTATAGAGTAATCTGCTTGGGGACAAATATATACTTTATGACATGCAGCACAGCTTTATGCAAATAATATGTTGTTCTCTGATTATGTCTGAGTAGTAACAAAATCAGTATGCACATGGGCTTCATAAACTAATTGTTTTTTGTTTCTGCAGTCACGGATGCCTTTACAACCAGAACTTGTACTGGAAGATGTTAGCCAAGATCATGCACACAAAACGGTAGCGTCTCAACTTGTTTGACTTGCAAATATGTGGCGTTTTCATCTTATGAATTGCTTATATGTGTTGTTGTTTTTTTTTGTTTTTTGTTTTTTGTTTTTTCTTTCTTTGTTGTTGTTGCTTTTATTGGGTGTTGCCTTCAAATTGTGAGTTCACTTCTGTTTTTACTTCATCGCTTTTACTTTCAACCTAAGCCACCTGGACCCCTCATCTCGGCTCCTGTATCTGCATCCGACATTTTCAGTATCCGTGTCCTTGTTTGTGCCCGACATTCTTGGACACTTCCTGAATATAAACATAAATTTGTTCAGACGTGTACTCAAATATATATTATATGCTTTAGTTTAAAACACTCGTGATACCCTTGTTGGATGTTTATCTTACACTTGACGTCCAATTTCTGCAACTCGTTGGACTCAAATCGGATTCATTTGAAGCCATACCGGGTTTGTAAGTATGATTTTAAAGGACCATTTTGGAATCTAGTTAAACAACGAGCGATTTTCCAATTTATTCTCTACTTAATAATAAAAACATAAAAATGCTGTAAGCATTTATTTCTCATAACATGTGAATGAAAAAAACAATATCGATCTCATATAAATTATTAATTTCAATATGTATTCATATAGTCGTGTCCTCATATCCAATCTTTACGAATATGATAGGTCCAGTTACTCCTGTATCCACACCCATGTCTACGCTCGCACTCGTACCGGCACCGTACCTGTGCAACATAGCTTTTAACTTGTTTATCTCTTAATTTTTTAAGGCTTATGTAGCTATATCAGTCTTCTCCCTTCATTGTAGTTCCTGAGGTCTTCACTAGAAGGGTATTTTTTTATGCATGTAGTCATGCATTTCATGTTGTTTTACTGTTCTTGATATATCTTTCCGTATGTTCTGTGTTATTTTCATCTATACTTATGAATTTAATACGGTATCTATTATTAAGTCAGACTTCGATCTATGTGACATTTTATGCATAACATGTGACATTTTATGCATAACTGAGTTTTGATAATTCTTTTGCAAGTCCTGATTTATGATATTTATTCTTTCAGAAGTAAGAACTTCCAGTTGCTAGGATTTAGGATGCTTGAATAACACTTATGTTAGTTGCATTGTTCAGTGAATTGTTGGATGTGGTGATCTTGTGTAGAGTGTCTTGCATCTCTGTCAAATATAACAGTATCTTAATTTCATTGCTAGACATCAGTCTGTGAGACCTTAAAAATGATTCAGAACATGGTATATATATTAATAAACTAGATGCTGCGGATAGTTGTTAATCTTGCAACTAGATGAACTTAATGGCATGTTTTCTTCTACTACTTAGGTACTATCTGCTTTTAGATTTCTTGAATTTCATCTGCTTCAGTTTTTAAATTGTTTATGTGATGGCATATCACCATAGGCTTATATTGACACATGTAACAATTTGGATTTTGCTTGTTGGAAACATACAGGTGACGATTGAGGATCATCCGCATTTGCCTGGTAAACATGCTTCTGTTCATCCATGTCGACATGGTGCAGTGATGAAAAAGATCATTGATGTTCTAATGTCTCGTGGTGTTGAACCGGAAGTTGACAAGTAATGTTATTCAAGTTGACTCCTTGATACTTTAACCTATATTTATAAATAAATAAAAATAACCTGAAACCTAACTTTTTTTCTCATGCTTTTTGCTTTTTCCCTTTGAGTTTATGTTTTTCTATTTACCATCTCAATTAAAATTTAGGTACCACGACGAATTTTTTATCACATTTCAGCCCCTTATATTTATTTCTAATTTACATGATATTGGTTTTTATTTGCTATGCATATGGATTTTTATTTTTATGTTTATTTATTTATTTGTGCTTGCTTACCGCTCCACTTGCTTCCAGGTATCTCTTCTTATTCTTGAAATTTATGGCCTCGGTAATTCCAACCATTGAATATGACTACACGATGGACTTTGACCTTGGTAGTTCCAGCCGGTGATTAAGAGGTATGCCTTACTCCTAAATCCTAATAATCTTGGACTTCCCTGATCCAATCACTAGATACCACAATTGCATACCTGGAACATTGTTATACTGTCAAGAACTTTCTAAACTTCATAATGTATATATATAATTGATGACAACATATGTTTTATCTTATGTGTTGCTGCCCTCAAATCTAAGAACATACAGGTAATAGTTGGCATTTTATTCCCAAGTCGGTTGCCATGGCTATGTGTCACACATTAATGACCTCCATAGTCATTTAGATGTCTATATGACCAATGGTACATGTTATGATTAACAGCAGCATTTTGTAGTTGATATGTGTGTTTTCATATGTTGGTGTACTTTAGGTTGGCAATGCTGAGTTGTCTGAATGATGATATTCAATACTACAAGTTTCTGTTATGGCATAAAAGAGAATTGCATTAGTGCTGTTAAGACCAAATTAATTAGACCTATTGGATAGGAATTAAATATCAGGTATACTTCCTGAGGCCTGATCTCAGTTATATCAGCAGTAACAAAACAGTAGCAGGTCGTTCATCATGTATTAGTCCACCATACATTATCAATGTAGGGCTGCATGCCATCGTATCTGGCCCAACATAACACCTGCACATCTATTTGCGTATATTGAAATGATGGTTCTGCTGAATTTGATCAGAAGGTTGCAGTTTTAGAAAACATCTATTTTATGCCCTCTTATCATTTTTAAGTTATTTTGAAATTAGTCCCTCAACTCATCGAAGTTGATTTTAGGTCTCCCAATTTTCATAAGTTGATTCAAATTAATCTCTCTAGTTACTAGTTTACTACTACTACTATTGATTGGTGAAAAGTGGTCGAGTTTGACCAAGTAGTCCATTTAATGAATCTCAGCGAGCATGAGTCGATCTTTTCTAATGGACGATGCTGATATGGAGGTTCTTTACCCATCAGATCCATTTAATGAATCGCAGCCGTGCATATAAGATTTAGAGCATAGTCTTAGGTCCAAAATAGCATTCCCTTGAAAACACCATTCTGGCTTGAGCTTCTGAGCATCAACTTTGGTAACAATGACATTCTTTTGATGAGTCTGTTCACGAAGCACTGATGTTTATTTTTCCTGGAGCAGGTTTATGTGCAGTTCAGCGGCATAACTACCATTAATTAAAGCATTCAGGCTTAAGGCAGTCTTCTCTCAATGTACATAAAACTGATATGTCCTTGCGAACGACTAAATACGTGCAGCATGATCTACGTAAGCTCGTATCTCCGTGTAAGTCAAATATGTCGATATTTGTTCAAGTATATGCTGTGTGAAAAAAAGGCATAGAAAAATTATGGGTAAGAATTTGTATAGGCGTGATTATTGTGACTTCGACTTTTGGCAATCTGGTTTTCCGATGGGGATTCTGTAATTGTTAATTTGGTCTTGGAAATGTGAGCTTGATTTATTGTTAAGCCGTGTAATGCCCGTGCAACTTGTCTTTATTGTCAACATTCTTAGTCGCTATTGTCTAACATGACCGTCGTCGTCATCATCATCATTCTTATGGTCATTGTACCTGTTGCATCACCGTCAACATCGGATTCACGAATTTACTCTGGTGGTCTCCCCCTCACCCGATGTGACTTAGCATGCATATGAGAAATCTACATTGACTTAACATGAGTGGGGGAAAAAAGAAAAAGAAAAAGAAAATCCAATAAAATCGTGAGTTATAGTTCATGGAAATTTTTAATTGTAAAAAATAAGCAATTGATTGCTATTGTGTTGAAAATAATGAATATAGAAAAAAGAAATGCAGATTATGGTCTATGAAAACAACGAATTTCAAAGTATGCATAAATAATTGTTGTTGAATCAAAACAATTAAAAATTGGCTAAAATTGTAAGGTTATAGCTCATGAAAATCGTGATTTCGTGTGTTTACTTGCTAATAAGTTAGAACTAAAGAAAATTGAAAAAAATTGTACGCTATAATTATGAAAATTATGAATTTTGAGATGAATAAGTATCTACCATTAAATTAAAATAAATAATAATGGGCAAAAATCATATGTAGTTAATGAAAATTATGAAATTTGAAGCACTCTTAGTGAATTACCATTACGTTTAAACACATGATAATGAACAAAATTTGAGAGTTATAGCCTATAAAATTACAAAATTTTAAGTATGCATAATTTTTGCCATTAAATTCAAAGGAATGATAATGCACAATAGCTATTGATTATGACCCACCAAATCATGAATTTTGAGATACATGTAGTTAATTGTCGTTAGGTCGAAACAAATGATAATTGAAAAAAATGGATCATAACCTATGAAAATAGTTAATTTAAAGCATCATATTTAATCGTTAGTTATAACTCACGAAAATCTAAAACTCAAAGTATGAATAGGTAATTGTGGTTGGGTCAAAATGAACAGTAATTGACAAAAATGGCTAAATAGCTTTTGCAAAGCATAAAAAATTTGAAGCGCGTTTATTTAATTTCCATTGGGTCCAAAGATATGAAAATAGATAAAAATCATGCCTTATAATTGTAAAATTTTAACTATGCATGATTAATTTCTATCGAGTTGATAAGAATAAAATGAACAAAAATCATGGATAACCTATGATCGCGAAATTTAGAGTATGCAAAATTAATTGATATTTGGTCAAAACGATTTGCAACAAATCGTTTGTTATATAACCCATGAAAATTATTATTTTTGAAGGGTGAAAATATCAGATTGGCCTAAAAAGTGACACGTCTTTACCACTTTGACCTGAAAAGTGATAAATTGGTGACACATAGGCTTTTCTTAGCATGGAGTGAATTTTTAAGCAAAATACTAAGGACTATTTGCATATAGACCCCTCAATCTCTTATATCTTTGGATTAACTCTTACCTTTCTAAATTCTAAAATTTGTAATAAAAAAAACTTCTTTCTCTCTCACACTTCCCACCATCTTCTCCATCCTCCTTCTCACCATCTCCTCCATTCTCTTCTCCTTCAGATCCCCAACCTTTCCTCCTCTCTACCTCTCATTCTTGATCCTTTTCCATATTGTTATTCTTACCTTCTCCTTTCCATCATCTTCTCTATACTTTGCTTCTCTCAAATCCCAACCTTCTCTTCTCTGACTCACTCCCTCTCCCTCCTTGCTCCAACAATTCCCTCTTCACCCTCCCATCATTTAAAAAAAATCCAATCTCCTCATTTCTCTCTCTCTCTCTCTCTCTCTCTCTCTCTCACACACACACACACACTCATACCCAATATCAAACAATATACCAAAAATCAAACCTCCACAAATCCAACCTCCTTCTCCTCTTCTTCTCTCAGAACAAATATCGAGCATTCTACCTAAAGCATCAGGAGGGAGTGGAGGATGTTTTCTCGTGAAAAGAAAAAGAAGATGAAATTGTTATTTTATTTTTCTTTTGAAAGAAAGAAAAAATTACAAAGTTTTTATTTCCAGAGATCTTGTGTGCACACAATAGAACAGTTTTGGTCCTATTGACCGCACGAACAATATTGCAATTCTCATAGAAGTCTTCTTGGTTATTAACTTCGTTGAATTTGGTATGAGGGATTCTTAATAACAAGAGCTTACTACGATATGGCGAAGGGTGAAAATAAAAAGAAGTTGTATTTAGTGAATTTTGCCCCTTTTAATCCTAAACCCTGAACCTACTTATCTTTGATCAACTCGTAAGCCTTTGGTAAACTTGAAATGGCTAATTGCCCTTAGGGTTCTTTCATTTCATTGAGTAGACCTTGTTTGCATTTTAACCGCTGGCAAAGGAGAAGGGAGAGAGAGAAAGAATGAAGAGGAGAGAGAGTGCAGAGAAGAGAGAGAAACTAAAGAAGTTCTGAAGAGTTAGAGTTGGAGAAAGAGAGAATGAGTGGGAGAGAGGAGGGAAGGTTGAGGATTGGAAGGAGAAAAGAATTGAGGAGATGGCGGGAAGGAGGAGGGAGGAGATTGTGGGAAGTGAGGGGGGGAGAGAGAGAGAGAGGAGTTTTTTTTATATAAATTTTAAAACTTGAGGGCATAAATCCAAAAATATGGGATATTTGAGGTATATATATGAAAAAATCTCTAATTTCTTCGTTTAAAATTTGCTTCCAGCGTTTGAAAATGCCTATGTGTCGTCAATTTGTCACTTTTTAGGTCAAAGTGTCACCAAAATCACTTTTTAGACCAAAGTGGTAAAGGAGTGTGACTTTTTAGGCCAATTTGGTATTTTAATAATTTTTGAAGTAAGCATAATTTGTAGTAATTGTGTTAAAAATGAATGATACTAGATGCAAATTATGGATTATAGCATATGAAAATTATGAGTTTTGAAGTACTCCGAATTAAATGTCATTGGATCGAAAAAATACGAATTTAGGGCGCATAATTAATTTTCATTAGGTCAAAAAGGAAAAAAAAGATAAACATATATGAGTTATAGCCCATAAAAATCATCAATATGATGTACGGATAATTAATTTTATTGGATCCAAATGGATAAAAATAAACAAAAATCTGGGGTTATATTCATAAACATCGTGAAAACTTTGAACTTTGTATATCGATTACAATTGAGATGAAATAGAAAATCCATGAAAATGATAAATTTTGAGGGAAAAAACTAAATTTTTTTAGGTGAAAATGACGCAAAACGGACAAAATTTATGGGTTATAACCCATAAAAATTATGATTCTTGAAGTACGCCAATGAATTGCAATTGTGTCAAAATAGATGAAAATGGTAAACGTGTGAGTCATAGTACATGAAAATGGTGAATTTTTAAGTTTCCCAAATAATTGTTATTAGTTACAAATATACAAAAATTGAGTAAATTGTGGGCTATACTCCATGAAAATAGTAAGTTTTTGAGGAAAGAGTACTTAATTGCAGGTGATCAAGACGACTGAAAATGGACAAGAATAGTAGGTTATATAGTTTGTAAAAATTGCGATTTTTGAAGTGTGCTGGCAAATTGTCGTTGGGATGAAACAGATGAAAATGAAAAAAAATTATGTCATTAGCCTATGAAAATCATAAAGCTTAAGGATTTTTTTATTCCCATTACACCGAAACAAATGAAAATGGGAAAAAATTGTAGGCTAATAAAAATTGGGAATTTTGAATTATGGTAATTAATGTTCATTGGATCAAAACAGATAAAATTTGACATGAAAATGGCAAAAATTATAATTGTGAATTTTGAATTACAAAAATTAATTTTTATTGGATAAAAACAAATAAAATTTGATAAAATCGTGAGTTATAGTCAATGAAATTATGAACTTTATAGAAATAAAGCTAAATTTTGATTTGGTCGAAACAATTGAAACAAGACAAAAACCATGGGTTAGATTATGAAAATTACAAAATTTTAAAGTAAAATAATTCATTTTCATTTGGTCAAAACATATGAAAATGGTTAATATTCTGAGTTATAACCCATAAAACTCATAAACTTTGTGGAAAGACAACTAAATTGCAATTGGGTTAAAACTACCGAAAATAGATAAAAATCGTAGATTGTAGCCCATAAAAATTATAAAAATTGAAGTATGCCAATTGTTTTTATTGGGTCAAAATAGATGAACATGGAGAAAATTGCGGGTTATAGTTTATGGAAATAGTGAATTTTAAGGAAAGAAAACTTAGTTGTTCCTTGAATCGAAACAGATGAAATGGAAAAAAATTATGGATTATAACTCATGAATATTATGAATTTTAAAGTCTACAATTAAATATCATTGGGTCGAAATAGATGAAAATTGAAAAATTTATATGCTGTAGTCCATGAAAATGATGATTTTTTAAAAAGAAAACTGAATTACCATTAGATCAGAATGATAAAAAAGGGACAAAAATATGGGGTTAGCCTATGAAACTTGTGTTAAAAACTCATGAATATTTCAGAAAGAAAACTACATAATCATGGGCTATAGAGCATACAAATTGAAAATTTTAAAATACACCAATTACTTGCCTTTGGATTAAAACAAATGAGCTTAGACACAAATAGCAGGTTATAGAATAAAAAATAGAGAATTTTGAGAAAAGGAAACTTGATTGGCATTGGGATGAAACAATAAAAAATGGACAAAATAGTGAGTTATAACTAGTAAAAATTACAATTTTTGAAGTACACCAATTATTGTTATTGGGTTGAAATTAATGAATATGGAAAACATCATTAGTTATGGTCCATGAAAATTATTAAGTTTAATGGTAAAGTTTTAATTGTCATTAGGTTGAAACTGATGAAAATAAACAAAAATTATGGCTTAAAACCATGAATTTTGAAGTACGCCAATTAATTATCATTGAAGTGAAACGGATGAAAAATGGAAAAAATTGTGGGTTATAGTCATGATGAAAATAGTGGACTTCGCAGAAAGAAAACTAAATTGTGAATTGGTTCGTAACAACTAAAAATAGATAAAAAAATTTATTG